TTGTCTTTATATAGGTTTTTGCCCCTACTTGTATATGTTTCGGGGGATTTCTTTTTTTTTTTTTTTTTAAACCTTATTTTTCTTATTGGTAGTGCATATTTGAAAATACAAATATAAGATTTTCTCTAATTTTATTTTTTTTAATAATGGGATTAGTTTCTGACTGTTAAATCTAGTAAAAATCACATTAAATTAAAAAAAAATAAACTGAAAATATAGTTTTTTATATAAATTTAACGACTGAAAATAAATCATTACAAGTATCTCATATTTTATGGTCCTCACAGAAAACTCCTTATAAATTTTGTCAAAATCATGAAAAAAAAAAAATATATATATATATATATATACAAAATTGATAAAAATTGAGAGTTTGTTTATTTCATACATTCAAATTTAAATCATTAATTTTGTTACTATATTTTTCTATTACAAAATATTTGAATTTAAAACGTTATAATTAAAAATTATAATTTGAGTATACTTCTATTCTAAACGGACTATGATATGCTCTACTTATATTTTTACTGACATTAAACATTCAAACGCCTAAATACTAATATAATTTTCCTAATTCTGGATGAATAAACTATTTTGGAGTAACTTTTTTTTTTATTTTTTAGATTGGACATGTTCTGCAATAATGCAAAGTGCAACTCAAATGAGTGCCCTCTTGAAATTCGAATTTTGGAATAATTCGTCTTGAACCACCATCGCATTCAGCTTTCTATCATTCACCAATCATTTTGTTTATGGAGGAAAACTATTGCATGTACATATTTGTTGTATGCTTGAGCCAATAGTGTACCAACATGAAAAAAGAAAGAAAGAGATAAATGAATAAATAAAAATAAAAAACTATTCCCTCTCTCTCCATGTAATGTATTACTGACAAGCACGTTTAATGTCGTTTCATGACCATCTAGAGGTATGAATGTGGATTGCACAATTTCATAGACGACCTTCATGATTACGATTTGCACTTATGCATGGCAGGAAGTAATCGCGGGGTCTCACACCCTTTATAGATTCAGAATCATAATTCAGAGTTATTTTTTATTTACATGTATTTTTTATAAAAGAAAATATTATAACGAATTACGAATCATAATTCGAATCACGTCACGAATCTATTAACCAAACGCATCAATACCCAAAAATGAATTTATTCCTTCTATAAAAAGGGTTATTATTTATTTATGCCTCATTCACTTCGCGGATTCGAATTGAGATATAACATTTTCTGAGAGCTTTTCACTGTAGTAGAAAAAGTCAGATGTGATATTTTCTGAGAACTTTTTACTGTAAGAATCTAAAACTGAAAACTCGAATCGGTGAAATAAACGAGACCATACTGTCATCTCGGGACTTGATCCCGTTCCTTTTTTTTTATAACAGTTAGAAATTTTGGTGCCCATTGTTCATCAATAGAACCCAAAAAAAAAAAATCTGATTCAATTTTATTAAAAAATAATATCTCAAAATATTGTACAATTTATTGATTATATAGAAAAGGAGAAATGCTAAATAAAGACTTATTATAAATTTTGTTATAGATTTTAGTATAATCTTTTAACACGTGTCATTTTTATTTTCTTAAGCAAACTAATTTAATAATAAGTTATTCCTTTTACACTTAATTATAAAAATGCCATTACTCTTTTTTACCTCTTAAATTCAGTGATTTCAAGCAAAAAAAAAAAAAAAATTCTTTTTATCAAGAGAAGAAGATAAAAACAACTTTTAAAGTACACATTTTGCTCCAGCATTTATCTTCTAACGATTTTACACAGTTTCTTTGAAGCATCCATTTGAGTTCATGATTATCTATAATAGGAGAAAAAAAGAGAGAGAGATATATTCAATACATAATTGGATACTAAAACATACAATTTGTAACCAAAATCCCACAACCCAGAAAAAGAATAATTCAATAATGGAGCATAACCAATATATATCTTCCAGCAACCAAGAACATGAAGCATACAAACAAAAAAGTCGATGAACATAACAAGAATATAACATAATTATATATAAAGAAAAGAATTTAGGAAAAAGAAAAGAAAAACTAAAAAACGATTCACGGCCTCAAAACGGGAAAAAAAAAATGAAAAGAAAAAACCATAAACAACAAAGAATTAAAAAAAAAAAAAAAACTGGAGCAAATTATATACATTAGAGAACCAAAACATGTATCAGAGGCCTCAAAGGGAAAAAATGAAAAAGAAAAAGAAAAAACCATTGAAAACAAAAATAAAAACAAAGCTCAAACAAAATTGTGTACCTTAGAAGTTATTTTTATATTCTTTTCAATAGAATTGCACACCAAAATTTTTCAATGGTCCATTTAGAAAAAGAACTCTTCCTATACGCAAGCTTTTCTCACGCTCTCTTTTTTTTTTTTTTTTTCTTCCATAGGAATGTGTAGGGTCCATAGATTTAGGAGGCAAAAGAAAATAATGACGTTTTTGTAAATAAGTGTAAAAATAATGATTTATTATTAAATTTATTTGTTTCAGAAAATAGAGATGATAATTGATATGTGTCAAAAGATTAGGTTAAAGTATGTGACAGAATCTGTATTTAACATTTTTCTATAAAAAAAAAAACTCAAAATAAGGGTTGTAAAAGTGTTAGGTGTTGACTACTGATTGATAAATGGGTTTAAGGCATCATTCACTTCGCAAATTCGAGTTTTCAATTCGAGCTGAGATGTGATTTTTTTTAGAGCTTTTCACTATAGTAGAAAAAGTTAGATGTGACATTTTCTGAGAATTTTTTACTGTAGAAACTTAAAACTGAAAACTCGAATCGGTGAAATAAACGATGCCTAAGTGTATTGAAGTAAATTTTTTTTGAGATTTGACTTTAAACCAATAATGTGATGTTTTAAATCAAAAGAGTATTAAGAAATTTTGAATTTACCCTTTTATTTCAATATTTTAAACAAGAAAACTCAAATCATATATTACAAACTTTCCGTTTAAATCACGAGAATTTAAACCATCATATTTCAAATCTATTTACGAAATGAGCCTTTACATTTTAAACACGTTCTAGAAGGAAAAAAAAAATCCTATTTCGTTAAAAGAAGATTTTTTTAAAATTTTTCCTCCTAACAAAAGCACTCGTTGATGAAGCGGATCTCCTAGATAAGTGACAAATGATAAGGGAAGACCTTCAGAAAAAAAAAAAAGGAAAAAAAATTATTAGGGAAGACACTGTGGTTGACTGAACAAGGTGTGGTCCAAACGTGGCTTTACTCATCACTGGCCAAGCTGAAGAGTCCAGTATTTCTCTGTGCCGGATCGGTGATTCCTTTGCGTTTTGTCCTTTTTATTAATTTGATCGGGGCCGTTTGGGAATAAAATATATTTTCCATGCTAACATTTACATTGCACGCAAGAGATTAGAATTAGAGAAATGTTTGTACTTTATTATTATTGTTGATTATTGATGATTGCCGTCTATGCATTTATTTATTAGGTGAGAGATTTCATGGCCAACTATATGAAGAAAGTTTTAATTAAAAGCATAGATTAGCGTTAAATGGAAGATCATGAATATCCGGCAGAAGGAATCTTTTCTAAATTGAAAATCTTATGCATGATCGCCGCAAGTGGGGACAAAAGGAAGCTGGATATATCTCACCAACATTTGTTATGGCACCCATTAACTTCCAAGTGTTCAATTAAATCCACAGGCAATATTAAAATTTTTTTTCTTTATTTTTAATTTTCCCATTCTGCTTTTTCTTTTTTTTTTTCTTTTTTTTTTCTTTTTTTTTTTTGGTAAACATCAATAGTATTGACAAACAATTTGAAGTTTTTGGTGATATAATTGAGATCTAAGCATTTGTCATTTCTTGGATTTGGCCCATGAAATGATACGATAGTTTCTTTCAAAGCCGCTGAGATCATGTTTAAGGTTCTTCTCTAAAAAAAAAAAATACAAATAAGGGGCAACTATTAAAATACAGTGGAAAACGTAACAATTAGGCTTCAGAATCAAGTTATAAATGTACTATAAACTGGCTGAAGATTTTGGGCTACACGATTGGATTTGGATGGATTACTAAACGCAGTTACGGTTAGGCAGAATCTCACTGCCCACTAGCCACACCAAATCCCGCAGGCAACAATCTAACGACCGCAAGAAGCTACTATTTGTTACTCTCCCAAGCAACAGGAAGAAAAATAGGCTTACTTGTTTTCGCTCGTTCGAGCTAAGAATTTAAGTTAAAAAGTGAATTCATGTGAAGAAAAATATTATAGTAAAAAAAAGTTAGATTTAAAATTTTAAAAGAAAAAGCACTGCAGCAAAAACTTGAGTTATAATTCGAACTAACGTAATGAACGAGTTCAGCCCGTTCATTTCACTCATTCGAGTTGAGAATTTGAGTTAAAAGTGAATGTCTATGAGAGAAATTATTGTAGAAGAAAAAATTGAATTTATTAAATTTTTATTAAAAAAAAATTGTAGCAAAAACTTCTGTAGAAGAAAAAATTGAATTTATTAAATTTTTATTAAAAAAAATTGTAGCAAAAACTTCTGTAGAAGAAAAAATTGAATTTATTAAATTTTTATTAAAAAAAACATTGTAACAAAAATTTAAGTTATATAATTCGACGTTTTTGAGGAACCACCGTATTTTTTGGTTCATACCCGGAAAAGTTTTGCTATACGTTGTTTGAGTTTTACAAACATTACCTCATTTGCGCCAGTTCTAGCACCGCTAGGGCAACCATATTATTAGGAACATTATTGGTCACAATTTAAGGTATTTGTTTGCTTAATTTACCCCTTCACCATTTAAGCAATCACCTCTGAGCAAAAAACGTTGAACAAAAAATCCTAAACTCCTCCGGATTCAAGGATTAGCCAAGTCTGAAATTTTCCTTTACAAAGAGAGGTGCCCCTTGGTAGTAGGGCAGCCAAACACCAAAACACAAGAACAACGGCAAAACAACCACTTAAAGATGACCAATAAATAATCTCACACATTAAAAAAAAAAAAAAAAAAAATCATACATTCCGCTTCATCAATAATGTACGCGCGCACACGTCTGTGCGCACGCCATACGCTTCGATATTGTGCAAATTTCTATTAACATGGTAAGGGTATCTACAATATCTACATGAATGCCAAAGGCTATATACACTACTCAAAATGTCACTATGGAAACTGTACTTCAAAGTTCTAACAATACAGAAGACCATTTTGCATATGTTCTCCAACTTTTCCTCTCCCAGCGCAGTCAGCAGTATTCCATCTAAGGTGGAAATATATATATATATATATCTCTGTGTGTGTGTGTGGGGGGGGGGGGGGGTTTAAGGGATTAAACTTTTCTTCCAAAGTAAAAGATGACGTCCTAAAGAGGCTCAAGTGTCATTGTTGAGATTAAGAGAAAAAAATGCGTATCATGAAAAGCTAAGCTTCAGCCGTGGCATCCGCTGCCTCATTTATGCTTTCACCTGGGGAGCCATCTATGCTTTGTTCAAGCAATGGCTTTATGTTGGCTCTATTGATTGCACAGACTTCATTTTCGTTATCCTCATTGGACATGTCCAAACTATTTAGGAAGATACCTGCAGATGCTTGCGAAATAAATCATACAATATCAACCCAAATTACCCAATAGTTAAAAACGATAAAACTCTAATTCCGCAGTGGCTGTTGAAAGAGTAGGGATATTTCATGCACATGCACACATGAGCAGGATTGACAATTTAAAGTTGAAGACATTATTCCAACATAGAGCTTCTGGAACAAAGTATGAATGATTCTCATTTTGTAGATAAAGATGGTCGTAATAATTTTTTAACAAGTTTTAATAATCCAGAAGTGTGTCACTCACCTATGAACCATATTCCGGCAGCAACAAACAGAACGGACGTCAGGGTCAAAGATGTTACCCTCCAGTTATTAACACGATCCTGCATTAACATAAACTTGAACATGCGGGCATTGAAAAAAAATGTGTGAAGCAGGAGATGAGTTAAGCTAGTAATAAAGACGTCATGAACTTCTATCGCAAAGGCTGATTAGGGGACTGTGTACACGTAGTGGAACCATCGACCTCTAATCCAATTTGTGAACATGAAGCTATTTATTAACTAAAAGAAGGGCGACAGCGTACATAAGCAAAAAGACATAATAATGAAGTAACAAAGAACTATTTCTTATGAGGTAGAAGCTATATGGATCAAGGAAAATGAACAAAATTTCATCTCTTTTGCAATCTGAGAGAATTGAAATTGAATAGAATGCAGTTCAACAAATAAATCTTCACGAAGGATCAAAAGTTTTCAGAAGCAAAAAGGGGCAACCATATGATAAATCATCAGAGATAAGATTCTAATTGTTTAGTCTCTAATTCTAGTTGACATTACAGAACTAAGTGAATTACCAACTAAAACATTCTAAACATTCTTCCTCAAGCACCAAACTAGATTTAGCATTCCAACCAAATAGGTTTCAGTACGAAAACATATTTTGCCCAAATCTAATATAATACATTCAATAATAATAATAATAATAATAATAATAATAGCAATAGTAATAGTAATAGAAATAGTAATAGTAATAGTAGTAGTAATAGTAATAAAGCAGGTAAATCATAACATAAAGCTTGAGCACAGCGGCTTATTATCAACAGACGTAGGCCAGTTCTATCAACACATGCAGAATGAAACTTTGAATGCACACCTGGAGGATCCCAACAAGAGGTGAGGAAGGAACGTCACCAAAGATATGAATTGAAACGGTCGAAATAGCCATTGAAAGTGGCCTTAGACTTGGTCTAACGCAATGGAGAGATACATAATTAACAGGAGCCTGCAGAAGCATTGTAATCCATCAAATGTTGGTCAATAAGAACATCAAGCAACGCAAACAAACCGACCCTCTTCTTATATACGTACATACCTATATGTTTGTGTCTACAAATATATATATATATATATATATATATATATATACACACATACACATCCTGCAAGGAGGGGGGGAAGTGGAAATTACCTGAGTTGCAAAGACAAGTAGCTCACCCACCGTAAAAAGAGCTATGAAAACATATAAGCTCCTAAATAAGAAGGCACTAAAGCAAAATATTGCACCAAGAAAAGTAGCACCAGCAAGTAGCTGCAAAAGCGGAAGATTCAAATTATGATACAACCAGGTGCCATATGAATAGAAGATTTAAAGTTCCTAATTAAAGCTAACAATTACAACATGAGAAAGCATAGGACTACAAATACAGGGAGAATATCAGTTTAACCTTAGCCTCTTAGAACATAAACAATTTGTCGATGTCAATAAAGAAACAAGTGTTGCAAAAATGCAGAACAATATATGGTTAAATTAATATTACAGAATAGAACTTCAAATAACGAACACAATCAAACATACAACAAAACCCACCTTAAATGCATTCGATATTGTAGCATTCATGTTATCAAGGATAAGGCCTCCTGCTAGTGTGCCCAAAACTCCGCAGATGATTGTAACCCCTCCAAATAACAAATCTGCATTACTCTGACAAGAGTTTCAATTTCTCAGAGTGTCATTCATATAACTGAGTCAAAAAGGAGATTTCTTAAAAGCACGAAGGGCCCCACAATGAAGGGGGGAAAAATTCAACCTGAAAGAAATAGGTAAAAAATAAAAGCAGAAACAGCTATATACCATATGATAAATATTATAGCCAGCCTTGGGCCCCCAATAAGAATAGGCGCCAATAACAAAGTTGTACGAGATGTAACCTGCCAAACAATTAAAATGAGAAAAAAAAAGTTCAAAAAATAAAATTTTTAGTAAAGCAAGGAGCAAACCATCAGAAACTTCAACATTGAAATAAGACAATGGTCTTACGAAGATAAGCAAATCTTCACATAGGCATGATAAATAGTTTGAATATACGAGCAAATAAGCACGCTCAAACATACATTTGGAAGAAAACATGATCGCCAACAGTGAAAGATTTATGTCTTATATTTGCCACTTATAAAATATAAATCTATACAGCGTACAAGTAGAATGAATTTCAGGAATTACCCAAAATATTGACAAGATAAACTTTATCAAGGAAAAGAACTTTAAGATCTTTCAAATATCCGGAGCTTTGGTTTGCTAATTTAGACGTAGCAGATAACCTGAACCATGCAAAAGAACACAAAACCATTTTAAAAGAAAAATTAATATCAAGGTTAAATAACCTGTTGAGACTCAGCTTGATCTAACAAATCATGCTAACATCAACAAACGCTCAAATGTAGTGGCAATGTAAAAGAGAACAAGGTCTCTCCTTGTTCCCTTCCCCAGCATGCTCAGATCTTGGATAACGATATTCACAAGTGAACATATGAGGAACTGTTGGATACAAGAATTTTGTTTCCCACCGAAGTGGCTTAGTTGGCAGAATCAAGGCTACACTTGGAGTTCCACCACAATGGGGAAGAGATACAAAGCAGAGGGCACAGAGTGGATGATCCTCAAGGGGCCTCCGATGCTTAAGTTAGACATGGGTCTAGGCTGATGTGAGTACTATCCGCTGTTAACAGAGCGCATTTAATTATGTCGCAGTAATGAAGATATAAGAAGAAGGTGGTTGGATTCCAGTGGAAAGCCCAGGGAGTAAGTGAAGAGGGAGGGAGAGGGGGGAGAAAGAATAATAGTGGGTGAAATCCCAAAGATTTGGAACCCTCTTCCCCCCTTAATGAGGGGTATCTATAGCAGGGGAATGAAAGGAGCCGCACAACACTGCATGAAGGACTAACGTGAATAAAAATCAAACACCATATAGTACACCGAGGAAATATAGCCGATTCACCACCGGATGGACCATGGAGGCAATCGAGCCCTGAGGTGTACGACCACTTGGTCAGCAGACCACCCTGGTCGGCCGAAGGGTAAACTGACCACTCGGGTGGCCAAGCCCTACCCATGCCGAGCCTCTAGATCCACTCTAGCTGTCAGAAGCACGCTTTCTTAAGCATACAAACTTGACATGCACGCAAACAGAGGAAGGGCAGGAATTATCACTCCTCTAGTCTCCCTGCTATAAATACAGCTCATGAAGTATCTTCCCTCTCTCTCTTTTCATTTACTCCAGTGGGCTTCCCACTAGAATATTGCCGCCGCCTTCTCTCTTCATTAATGCACTACCATTAATGCTCTAGTTGATTTAAATAGTGCTCACATCACATTAGGACTCATGTTTGACTTGAGCATCAGAGTTCCCTTGCGTTCCTTGGTGCCTCCTACTCCATAACTCTCCTCTATAGTATATGCCGACGAGGGTCATTAATTTTTTCAGGTCAACTAAGTCAGCATGGTGGAAAAGAAAATCCTTGCATTAACAGTAACTGCTCCAAAAGTTATCTTATTGGGAATCCAACCAATTGAAACCATAAAGAACAATTAGCAAATGTCTAGCATAGCTCTATGAAAAAAGGAGGGGGAAAAAAGAGGTTTTACTCTTTTTAAGTATATACTTTTAGCATGTTAAATAAATTTATGACAACTAGAGCTTCTCACAAGAGCTCATATTTCGACTGACCACAACAAATACAAGATCCTTTAGTTACTTTCCAAACTCTACGGTTATTGTTTATTTCTTTCTGAGCTATCATAATTTAGAACTCGCCGGTTCTTTTCTTTTATAACAATTTACTTCCTCTACCTACATTGGCTCCACTAATTACCAAAGACAGTGTATGTGCAACAATATGTAAGAGAAATAAGGCATGGAAATGAATGAAACAGCCACTTACTTGGTAGCCTCATCTGAAGTGATAAAGACACGATCGTCTATACTTGATGGCTCTGAATCAAAATTTACAAGTCAATCAGCCTCCAGAAAAGAATACTGGAAAATACATTAGTAAACGATGAGCAGGGCCGTGACATAAGTCGTGATATTCTTACATCCAAGAAAGCAGAAAAGGAAAACAAAAAACAAGAAGAATTAACAAGAGTCACAATTCTTGAGTAATAATAAATATATAAAAATTCAACCATCTACAATTATATCCAGAACCCCAATTTTCATCACAAAGAGGGGGGAAAAAGTAGGCAACAATAAAATTACAGGAATCTGCAATCAACAAGAATGAAAAATTGTTTTCTATAAATCAAACTATAGTTATCTGGTATAGTGCTGCTTTTTTGCTAAGAACTGTAGTGCTCTCTTAAGTTACGTAGTTCAATATCATTATCACGAGTTACCTCACCTGATCCCCAAAGATGCTATTCCAATTTCAGTATCCATATGCTTTAATTCAAAAGTAGAACTGAACAAAAACAGAGCCAAGGATGTGAATGGATAGCTTTTAAACGACTCCTGGTAAGGGTATACTAGCCAAACTTGTTACAAATGAATTACCGTATATGTAAATACATATATTATTCTAAATCAGAGGAGCTTAGCTCAATGCATGAATAGTTGGTTTTGTTTCTTGGTCAAAGCAGCAATGAGATCAGGCCTAAGTAGTGAAAAAGATTAGAACGCGAAATACCTTCAATTAGAGAACTAGTCTCTTCAGTACTTGTCAATATTTTGTTTGAATCAGTGCATGCAAAACCTATGGTCAAACGTTAAAAAATGAGTGAGTAGAAATGTTATGTTTTACGTGAAATTGCTAAACATAGATTATGCATCTCAAAACATTCACCTTTCAACTGCAAAGGTTTCACAACAAATCCCAAAACAGCAAAAGGAAGCATGAGGAATGCCTCGCCCCAAAATGCATAACGCCAATTGAAATTGCTTCCAACCTAAAAATGAGCCAAAAAAAATACAGAAGATATTGATGGGTGCATACCACCAGAAAAATTTTAAACTATTCTAAAGGTATGCCACAGAATGAACAAAAGAATTGATGCAAAAACATTACTACTAAACAAATTAAAAAACACTCGAAGATAAAAACTCGCACATGTCAGAGTTATAGGTCTTCTTTCTCTATCAAATTCTATAAAGGGAAAGAAGAGAAATTGAAAAAATCAATCTGGAATTGTATTATTCGATCAGGAAGAACCAAGAAAATGTACAATAACTGGCAGAGAAATCGAGATCACTGTCTGTCTCCAGCGAAGACCCAATCAACCAAATGCCTGCCTCTAATCACTCTGTTTCCCCTCTATATATCCTCCCTAAGTTTTACTCCCGAATTTCACAAACAAAACTAACTAATGTCTAACACAAAGAAACAACTAGAAACACAAGCACATATCAGTCAGACAAGTCTAACAAACTTCTAACTACGTGCTGCAACTAATATCCCTATTACCCCC